TGAAAGCAAAAAAGGCAGAGAAGGACAAGTTGTTTGCAAGCCAGAAAGTATTGTTCCCGACAGTTATTTATTAAATGTCTCCACACCTATTATTATTTCCTTTTAATTACAACAAAGGGCATTATTGGCATCTTTTATTTATAGCAGAAAAAAATAAAACTCACTTGGGGGAATTTAATTGGTTTCCAAAATAAGGAGTTCTGATATTCTGGGGCTGAGAGTCCAGCATGGTTATTTCTACTTAATTGGACTAGTAGTTAAAAACCAGATGCATATAATCCCATTTTGGCTTAAAATATATATCAATATAAATGTGAATGTAAGTGTACACATGCACATGTGAAGAGAAGGTCCCACTTACAGTCTTGTCACTTTTTAAATCTTGTAAGAGACAATGTTGGTGCCTTACCCACATTCCCATGGCCCACCGCGGAAGTCACCTACAAACAGTTTCCTCTTAGGCAAAAAGCTTCTGTCCTCACCTGGGAACACTCTTTATCCAGGGGAAGCCTACCCTCCCCCACCTCCCTGGTCGCAGCAACTTCATTTCCTGTTCATTCTTGACTAAACTTCTGCCCACATGCATATTACTTAAAATAGTCTCCTCACCTTCTGTGTGAATCTTGGCTTCTTCAGAATCAATGGGAACTCCTCAAAGGATAACCTCCCTAATTGTTCACCCTTCCACTTATCAAACTCTCACCTGCATGAGTGCAATAGTTTTCCTAGTAATTGTTCTTGTTACCGCTGTTCTCTCCTACAACTCATTCTCCACACAGGAGCCAATGTGATCTTTTAAAAACATGAATCAGTCAGTCTCACTTAAAATCAGCCAGTGGCTTCCTCTTGCACTTGAAGTGAAGTCCAAACTCCTCAGTATAGCCTACGATACCCCATAGTATCTGCCCTCTGCCTGCTGCCTCCTTGATTTTGTCTCATACTGTTCCCTCCCTCACCCATTCCCCTCAAGCCATTCTGTTGTTTCCTGTTGCTCAAACACACCACCCAAAAGGCTTTTGCACTTACTCCAAATTTTTACACAGTTTGCTCCTTCTCATTATTCAAATCTCAACTCAAATATCACCTCATCAAAAAGACCTTCTCTGGACTGTTTAAAGTAGTCATCTCAATCACATTTGCTCATTTAATTTTCTTCACTCACTTATTATTTTCTAAAATTGTCTCACTCTGTGAAACTTCTTTACTGTCTGTCACACTACTAGAATCTAAATTCCATGATAACAGAGATCACATCTGTCTTATTCACAAGAAAGTCCCTGTGCCTGGAACTCAGTAGGTCCTATATACTCAAGTAATCTTTAACTGGAAATTATTACAACATGGTACCACATGCAGGCCACTCAACACTACCACAAAATGTTCCTCTATGCATGGTAACATTAAAAAATTTTTCCATGAAAAAATTATGTGAATTTATTCCTGCTTAATGAACCAGTCCTAATGGGAACAAAAACATATTTGAAGGGACGGCATCTATATTCCTCCACCAAAAACAGGTGCTGCTACACCAGCATTGCAATGAAAATAGTAATGATTGTACAAGCAAACAAGGACAGTGAATTCTTATTTACACTAACTTTTCAGCCTTTGGCTGGATCTTACTCAATTGACACACTGCACTAAAGTTAAAATCAAACATTTTTGCATCCAAAAGTAATTGTAATTCAAGTTGGAATCTAAAACTTTTTTTAAATCTCAAATTGGTCTTTGAATGTCAATCTCTAAAAGTTCTATTTTCCTTCTTTACTTATGCCATAATAAATTCTTTTCCTTCTTTGAAACTGTGTAGTCCCTCATATTTTATGGGAATGCCACTTCAAAATAAAAAACCAGAATTTTAACATTTAAAGATTTCTTTTCTAATCAGGAAGTAGGGATCAGCAGAACTTCTCTGCTTTGTCTTTACCCTCTCTAACAGAGAAGCTCCTTTGTGGTCTTGATGTTTCAAAGTAAAACCCTCTCTGAACCCAGTAGATAAGACACTTTTAGTGCCTGTTTCTAACTGTTCGTGAGGGAAGGCCAATACAGAAAATAAGTAACAATGGAAACTGAATGGGTGCTAATAGAATTTTTGTTGTTGTTTTTAGACTTTCTTTTAAATTTTATTTCCCCACAACTACTTCATGGGGTTCAATTACAGTGAGTAACAGATATGATCCATTGAGGAGAACTATACATTTCACTTAACTTCATAAAAATCTTTTTGTACTTTATATTTACTTAAAAGTAAAATGAGGTAACATGTTTATTAGATTGTACTTTCATGACAGTCCCCCCTCTCTGACACACACATACACACACTATGTGTAAGTTTGCAGGGCTACCCAGAAACCTAATATCCTTCTATTGTTTTTCTTTCCCAAGAAGAAAAATTGTTTGGTGATATGATACTTGCCATGTAAGTCATTATAGGTCTGATGTTACAGTTGTTACACAGCACACAGTACTGAATCTACTGAATGAAAAGGGGGCACAAAGGGAATTTCCAAATGCAGCTGCTATTTCCCATTTGTTAAATCCTTTTACGGGACCGTATAAGTACACAGCTGGGAAATACTATAGAGTGGGAGTTAAAACAAAATATTTTGGCTTCCAGACATTCAGAATATACAATGGGTCCAGTGGAAAGCAATGCCTGACCTCAAAAAAGGGTGAAAATTTGAAAACATTTTCAACAAGGATGATTTCTTTTAGATTAATACATGACATATTTGTGAATTTAAACCACTGTATACTACCATAAATTCCACTTAATATGAATTTGGTAAGCACATTATTAATATATCTATTTTCTGACAAAATTTTAGATAAAACTTTGAGAATAATTCATGGAAACAATTTGGCACCTGCCAAGAGACACACAAAATGATATTGAGAAAAATAAGCAAAGTGCTCTCTAAAAAAGTAAAATATGAACTGTATTATTTCTGCCTTAACCTACATTTTCCAGTTTATTATTATCTTTCCATGACTATATTTGGCATAAAAGCAACAATATATCTTGAACCCACCCCTTCTCTCTATCCCATCAGCCTCCACTCTAATCCAAGCTACTATCATCTCTTACCTGAATTTCTAAAATAACCTCCAAATAGGTCTGTCTTCCTCATTTTGCTCTGTCTCCCTCCCATCCACCCATACTACAGCCAGAACAATCTGTTTAGAATATTCTTAAACCCCTCAATGCCTTTCCATTGTACTTAGAATCAAATCTTACTTCTATAACATCTTGTTGGGTATAGCCCCTCCCAATCTCTTCAACCACATCTGATGATACACTGCATCCTCTCTCATTATACTCCAGCAACCAAAACTATCTTAAATTTCCTAAAACTCAGCTATATTTTCTCACCTCAAATATTTCATACAGGCTATTCCCTTTGTTACTCTTACTCCTTCTTCTACTCTTTGCCTGGCTTATTCCTATCATCCTTAGATCAGTGAGGGCATTCCCACCTATCCATTCTAAATTAGGTTTATGCCATTATATTCTCACATCGCACTCTGTTCCTTTTCTTCCTAATGCATATCACAGTTTTAATTATATATCTGTGTATATATGCAAGTTTGTCTATTTATTTATTTATGTTCCTTCTCTTAGATACAAACTCCATGAAGGCATAATCATGCATGTTTTATTCACCAGCACCTAGAAGAATGCTGCACCCAGAGAAGGTGCTACATAAAAGTTTGTTGAAATAAAAATAAAACACAGCTCTAATATCTTGCCAAAACGTCAGTGGCAGTGACTGGATATCTATTTCCCCATGTCTTGGAGGTATAAAATAAACCACAGAAGTTCAATCAGAAACACACACTTTCAGTCTTGCTTTATTGTATACCTTCTCTCTTTGCCCTATTCAAGGCAAATAAATCTTCCAGTGGATCTAATTTTATAATGTTGATACCCTTTGAATCTAAAGTTAGTCTAGAAAAGTCTCACTTTTTCTTCCAATCTCCTAAATCTCACCTACTGCTTTAAAGCACTAAGTTATGTATGCAAAATCATCTGAAAAAAAAAGTCTGCATCTGTAAATTATGAAATCAAGCCTTTGAATTGGATCTAAGACATTAAGCATAGTGCAAGAATTTAAATATATGTTATTAGTAGTAAAGGCATTTCTTAATATTACCTTATTTTTAATTAAGGAATACATTTTTTCCTAATTGCCCACTTAAAATATTTTTCATTAATTAACTTAAGCAAAAGTTAAGAAATGTAAAACATAGTTTAAAATTTCTAATCAAATAAAATATGTTAAGGTTTTGGTCAGTTCTAGATGGTAAAGAAAAAATGAATATTTTTGCTTTAAGTTAGACAGTGAACATTTCTTACTATGGTTTCTGTTTTGATGGTTAAAGACAGAATTGAACATGAGGAAGCTGGCTAACACCCTGCATGTATCTGATATTGTTGCTTCTACCTTTAGAGAAAACTCTTCCAGTGTGATGGAATGACACTCAGAAGTTTTGCATGAACTTTTGAAATTAATATATAGGAACATAAATGAGAAAATCTTTATTATAAATCAAGAATGGCCACCAAAAATGAAAACTACCTGCATTTCCTCCTGAGATATATTCTCCATATGATCTCATTCACATAGACATGTTTGCTTAATACAATTTTTCAATACTAATACACAGCCACACTTTATTTGATCATACATATTTTGTGGTATTATCAACTTCATCACCTTAGATTCAGAGATTCAGAGAATATGATAACGAAATCACCCCCAAAATTAAATTAAATATATTTTGGCAAGGTGACCTAATAATGGACAAAAACTAAATCACAAACCACTTTTCAATTTTTCCCAGTTAGAATAATATTAATATGTGTGGTGGTTGTTTTATGATTTGAGCACAATGAACTCTAATTGTATGTATTTTGAACTTTCCCTAAAACATCTATTTGTAATGAGACCACACTAACCAACACACTTAGTGACAGTGGTTAGATTTTAAACGCTCACCATTCTTTGCTGAGAAGACAGAACGCTGTCCCAGTCAGCATCTTGTTGAATGGTATTGACAAGTGTTGGTAGCTCCTCAGAGTGAGGTTTGTTGTGCATTATGGGGTGCAGAGGCAGATGGGAGGCCACATGTTGATCACTGCTCTCTTCCTTTTCCCTTGAGGTCAAATCTTGGGTCATCGCTTCCTCTCCATCAGCTGAACAGGCAAATGGAGAGGTGGCTTGCTTGGAAGACATTCTTCTGCAGAAGTAGGAAACAGCATGAGTTAAAAAGGACTGTTGATAACCAAAAAAAAACAAAAAACCTTACATTTGACTAATTCAAAAAAGAAGAAAAGTTCTCTAACTTCAGAGGTACTTACCATCTACTCTAAACCACTGAAAAAGAACCCTTAGCTTATCTGTTTCACTTCCCCTTTTTTATTTTAACTTGCAAAACTTTTCCCAGTAATTGCTGCATATTTTCTCTCTCACCAATCCATAAATGAGGTTTTTATGGAATAAGTTTTCATTATGTATAGTATATGTATGTGTGTATTCCTCACCCCCATTTCTCCCAACTAGATTATAAACTTCTTGAGAATAATTTGGTTGATTTGTCTAGCAATGAAAAAAAAAAATGAATGAACTGGGAAATGAGCCAGTCTGGAAGATGATTTGTAAGTACATATATCCAAATTTCACTTAAGCTTTACATTAGAACACAAGAAGTCTGTGTAAGAAAATATAATCAAAAGAGTAAGTAATCTGTGATGAGCGTCCCAGGCAAATTTGGTCCTGAACTCCCAGTTTACCCCTTGAATTGAGCGCTGGGTCTGACACTGTGCAGTATCAATGGGATCCTTTTCTAAAGACCTTTAAGCTGTGTCAGCTGCTGTAATTTAACTTTTAGGTGACACATTGATTGAGTGACTGATACTGTTAGACTAGTCTTAAGGCAGTTTTATGACATGTGAATTACGAATATGAAACAACTATGCCTTTTTTAATATTAGAAAATATAAACAAGATTCAAAGCATTTAGTATGAAAATAAAAAATGTGTACAATGCACAATATTTTCAAAGCTCCAAAAACAATTACTGAACATCCATCTATGTATCTACAAGTAAATATTAATTACATTCAGCCTGCTTACTTGGTCTCCAGTCTGTGCTTTCATATACAATCAGAAAATCATTATTATTAAACAGAATTTCAGAACTTTTACAATATCACTTTATCAAGGTGATTCTCTTAGCAAAATGCTTAGAAATAAAACCACCAAAAGTTTTTACTTTATTTTTTAAGATTTTATTTATTTAGTTTTAGAGACAGGGGAAAGAAGGGAGAAATGGAGGGAGAGAAACATCAATGTGTGGTTACCCCTCACACAGTCCCCACCAGGGACCTGCCTGGCCGGCAACTCAGGCACATGCCCTGACCAGGAATCAAACCAGCGACCCCTTGGTTTGCAGGGCAGCACTCAATCCACTGAGCCACACTAGCCAGGACAAAACCACCAAAATATTTTAAATTAAAACAAGAAGCAATTGAACATCTTTTCTAAAACTTTATGTCATTTTTGGTTTTTAGCATGTTTAGCTCTAAAATTGCTGTGTAACAAAAGGAATAAAATCTCCACCTTAATTGCTCTTTAACATGAATTGATTTCATACCATTTTTTTAAAAATGCACAAATCAGTTAACATAGGAAACCACATGAGCATTTTTCAAATTAGCAAATCATTAACTTGCTAGTACTGTTTCTACAGACAAATAAATACTGATTAAAGGGTCTAGAAATCTGAGATTAACAGTTAAATTTACAAATCTGTCACATGCTTTCATGAATATTGCAGTGAAGGAAATATCAAGTGCAAAGAAAAATAATTAAGTTAATTCCAATTTAAACAGTAGTTTTTATGTAGCAGCCCATGTTTCACATAGGATTTAACAGCTAATGCTAAATTTCTCACAATTAATGAGAGGGCTCAGATTTAGTATCCTACAGTGAAAAAAATTAAGATAAGATCAGCTAATCTAATTATGCACAGTTCTAAATAAAAGTATTATAGGTTTTTGAAGTGCTTTGAAACATATTAAAATACCAACACCTACATAGAATAATCATTCTACAAATATAAAAATTTCATCTATTAGACTTGATACTAAAAAATAAAATGAGGAAGGAAGTACAGAAGAATGTATCTATCTTCTTTGAAAAGAAATAAAATGTTCTGAAGAGTGCTATATCAAAGAATGAGGTAGGTATATTCTTGACCTTCTATAAATACTAATAAATGGACTAATGTATACCCACTTAAGGAAAATGATACCAAAGGATGTTTCTTAGTCTACATGAATCACTCAGGGGTGTCCAAGCTGTGGCCTGCATGCAGTTCAGGATGGCTATGAATGTGGTCCAACACAAAATCATAAATTTACTTACAACACTATGAAATTTTTGGGGGGATTACATGTCACAGTGTATTTCATGTGTGGCCCAAGACAACTATTCTTCTTCCAGTGTGGCCCAGAGATGCCAAAAGGTTGGACACCCTTGCTAGAGTTTACCTCACTGGCCTCATAAATACTACAGTAAAACCAGGCAAATTATAACTGTCACACAAGTTTATCAAGAGCTTGCCATAAACAACAAGAATGTTTTTATAGTTCAGATAATGACAGTATCAATAATGTAATCATTCACATTAAAAACAAGAGAATGAATTTACTGCTGCTTTTTAAAACAGCTCAAGACAATTGAAAGTGATAATCCAAAACTCATAGGGACTGTAGCTCCCCAACAGCCTCTTGTTATAAAGTGACTTGGCTCCTTCCAATAGCAATATCTGTGATTGTTGCTTTAGTATAAATTAATCATGACACAAAATGCAAAAGTCTCTTAAGAATAATTTCAACTGCAAACTGCACAAATGAACAATAGTGCACAATCCTAATTAAACACAACCATGCAGCTGTAAAAATAGACTAAATCTGTCCAAAGCCATGAGTTGAGTTTAAAGCCTGGTTTGTTAGAGTGTTTTCTTAAGGAAGGCTGGGCCCTCAGTCTTAATCAGCCAATAAATTATTTCCTGCAATTACATTAAATAGAAAATTATCTTCAAATGGGGAGTGTTAATTGAAAATCAAAATTCAGAGGGAAGTTTAGAAATTACACGCTGAACACAATTAGTGAGGAAAGGCTTCACCTCTACTTCATCAACAATCTTCTGGTGATTCCTCCAGTGACCATTCAGGAAAGCTACCTATTTATAACATCACACAATTTTCTTATTTTGCACCTACAAATACAAATATGCATCAAGGTTGAAAATAAAAAATAGGCTTCTAAAAAAAACACTGTTGACTCTGACTGTTCTGCCTCAGCTCACACCATTATTAAGGGACAAAAAGAGGGGAAGGTAGGACAATAATGCTACGACCAAGGAAGGTATACTCAACTTTGAAATCTCTGCCTTTGATAAGGGAATTAACATTTTTTTATTTCAAGAAGAATACTTTTCCATACCATATTTTACCTAAGTTTCTTGTGTTTACTATAGTTCTCAAATATGTTGTTAGCAGAGAAGAAGGTGATTTTGTTCTTATTGCTAGTATTGCTCCATTCTGGGCATTTTCTTCTGATAAAATTGCTGGGCTTATTTCAGGTTTGTTTGTTGTTTATTTTTATTTTTATTTTTTATTGATTTCTAGAGAGAAGGGAAGGGAGGGTAAGAGAGAGGGAGAGAAACATCAATCAGTTGCATCTAGTACGGGGGGGCAAACCCCCAACCTAGGCATGAGCCCTGACCAAGAATCAAAGCCAAAACACTTTGGTTTACGGGATGATGCTCCAACCAACTGAGCCACACTGACCAGGGCCCAGGTTTGTTTTTTATTTTGTTTTGTTATAGTTTTTGTTTGGGGTGGTGGTTTCATTGGATTTTTAAAAGGAAAGTATGTACAAATGCATTTTAATGCACAGTTTATTAAATAAGTCAGATTCACTGATTAGATTCGATTTACTGATTATTTTTTGCACAATTACTTTATTAAAGAGTCCTTCAATTTACTGATTGCATCCTCATTCATTTCATTTCTTTAGTTTAACTTTCCCTTTTAAAACATTTTACTAGACCAACTAAACAGTATTCTAGAAGCTGCAAAGCTTGTTGGTAATGCTTTTTTTTTTTTAAGATTTTATTCATCCATTTCTAGAGAGGGAAGAGAGGGGAAGAGAGAGAGAGAGAGAGAGAGAGAGAGAGAGAGTCATCAATGTGCGGTTGCTGGGGGTCATGGCCTGCAACCCAGGAATGTACCCTGGCTGGGAATCGAACCTGGGACACTTTGGTTCCCAGCCCGTGCTCAATCCACTGAGCTACGCCAGCCAGGGCTGGTAATGCTTTTAATATAACCACTGCACCATGGCTACTCTCTTTAGAAATTTATAAATCAAACATACACCTGTTTTAATGTTTTATAATGTCATATCACATGCTTACTTTTATTTTTAACACTCATACCAGTAATCTTCCATTACAAAAACTTTCACCCCCAGTGTATTAGAATGGTATCTTACTTTAGTGGCTGCCATATATAACTAATACGCAAAAGAATAAAAATCCTTGTGAAAATGGTCGCTCTCCACGTGACTTTACTTTGTTTTATTTTTGCACTATAACTTAAAAATCATTCACATGAATTGTTTTTTTAATTTGTAGTAAAAAAAATCTCCCTAGTTATACCCCCTGAAAACAGGGGGTTATAATGGAAGTGCTGACACAACCCTAACTACAGCAGCGCAAATGTTGCCGCTATAATACACAAAATCAAGTTCTATTATTCTAAACGATCCTCACTCATGGGATTTTTCTTTACTGTGCTCCCAGCCAAACTGCTGAAGCATGAAAAATTTAAATGCAATCAAATGCGCCCAATTCTACTTTACTAGAACAAGTGTCTACAGTGGTACAATCTTAAAAGGAGATGCAACAGATTTGTTTGGTGTTTTTTTTAACTGTTTATTTATAATACAGTGCATTGGAGATAAAATAAAAGAGGAAATTACACTCACATGGTACCAGTGTATTGACTACACAGAGTACATTATAATCAGAGAGAAAAACTACATTGTCAACTTATCACATTGGTTAAACAAGATGGTTTTCTGGGGCATGGCTATTATCAAGTAAAACCTCCAAAGAGAATTACATATCTTTGGGACACATAAAACTAAATTCCCGTCATGTGTTCCCCG